CTTAACTATCTCCTTTTAAGCCCATCCATCTGGTACCCTAATCATTGTGGTGTTCCTTTCTGAACACCCTTCAGTTTGTCATCTTTCTGATACAGGAGTGCCTGGAACTAAACACAGTATTCCAAGTATGGGCCATCAAGGAGTACCATTAAGAGCAATGATTGGTATGAGATTTATTAAGTGCAAACAACATGCTGAGCCCTATGTAAAGCCAAAATAGTAAGGCATTCTTGGTGTCCAGAGTGCTTACACTCCGAACAGGGAAGCAAAGCAAATAAACAGCCATACTCACTTCATTTCGTAAAGAAAAGGAGCCAGAGGTCCAGCCAAGTAAAATAACAGCTTGAGAGTTTTTGTACAAGCAGCAAGTCATAAAATATTTTTTATTTCTTTTAGGTATAGAGTCTCGCTTTAAGAATAAATCAAGTTATATGAGATACAGTTGTGAAAGCAGAATACGAAGTTATATGAAAGAGGTAAAAATTGCTGTTTTGAATGTAGCTTGGTCTCAAGCTGTTATTAAAAATAAATCTTTACATTAGGCCTGAACAGCTGATTTTTTCCCCCCATAAACAGCCATGGAAGTTTTAAATTTAAATCTATTGGATTTATTAAATAGATTCAGGGTGCAATAGGCACTGTCTGAGCTGACATAGTGCTTTCTATTTTCTTAAAGGTTAGCAGTTATACTTCAGCTGTTCATCCAGCAGCACAAGCAGAATATAAAAGAATAACTGACTTTATGTTGGATAAACTGAAGTCTGTTAAATATAATGGCTGTTACTTTGACAGAAGAGAGGAGGAGGCGGTCTGCCTCTGCACTACTGAGGGATGGTTCTCCTGTCAAGTAAGAAACTATTTCTAAGATCAAGAAGTGTGTGTACGTATATTTTATGTGCTATGCTCATGAAAATAAATTGTAATGGGAGTTATGCATTTAAAGGAAGAATAAGCCTCTGGGCACTACAAACTATTAAACTGAAGAGAAACAACTTACCTACCGACAGTGACTGAAGGACGCTGCCAGCATAATTTGTTCTCAGATAAAATACTTCGGTGTTTTTACTAATTTAAACAAGACTTAAAACCAACAACTGTGTTTTTGGTTTTGGTCTGATATTTTAAACATTGTAGCACTGAGAGTGAAACTGACTAATTACTTTGAGCATCCAACTTTTGAGAAGCATAAATTGTGGCAAATTACCTCTTTTAATAATCAAGGGTGTGGGTAACAACTAACTTATTTACAACATTTTTAAGTTGACAGTGTCCCTTTGCTGATTGTCATACTGCTGAACAAATTCAAGCCTTACTAGGGGAGGCAAGGCTTTCCAAGATTCTGTATTTTATTTAAGTAAAATGTCTGATTTAGGCTGACATTTCAGTTAGGCTTTCAGCAGGACATGGTGTCAACTGTTGTGTAAACAATCACGCAGCTTTAAAAGAGGACTTGTTTCTTGCCCTTCATAAGCTAAAAATTGGATTTCACATCTACTGCCCTGAACTACTGCTCTACAAATTGTTGTAAAACAGCAGCGGTATCAGGGACCTCAGCACTGGCTTTCCAATCATTGTTAAAAGTTCCACCATGCTAAGAGCTGCCCCCTATTCACCTCTTACATAGGCACACATTTCACAGTCATTTCTTAGCCAGAGTTCTCGGCTGCAGCAAGTGCTGGCATGCTCTACAGCAGTGGTGGACAACCTGTGGCCCATCAGGGTAATCTACTGGCAGGCTGCAAGACCGCCTTTACATTGACCATCCTTAGGCATGGGCGCCTGCAGCTCCCAGTGGTCGCGGGTCACTGTTCCCAGCCAATGGGAGCTGTGGGAAGTGGCGCGGGCCGTAGGGACATGCTGGCTGCCGCTTCCTACAGCTCTTATGGGCCGGGAACGGCAAACTGTAGCTACTGGGAGCTGCGGGCGGGCGGCCGTGCCTAAGGATGGTCAACGTAAACACTGTCTCGCAGTTTACCCTGCAGATTACCCTGATGGGCTGCAGGTTCCCCACCTCTGCTCTACAGTGATGGAATTTGAGGAAAGAGATAACTACTTAGATACCCAATTAAATACAAGCACAAGTTAGCTTACTGATATTGACTGCTTATCTGTGCAGGGAAGAACTATTAAAATTTGATCCTGTATTTCCAAAGGGAGGCTTTGTCAGTGGATGGCCTTGATTCTTCCCATATCTTTTCCTATGCAACAAGTTGAATACATTTTGCTGTGTGGATACCATCCCACTGCCTTTATCTTTTTACAGGGTCCTTTTGACAGGGATTACTGCCTGTGTAAACATTCCATCAATCCCTACAGTAACAGAGAGAGCAGAATCCTCTTCAGTACATGGAATCTCGATCATATGTACGTATAAAACATTAAACCAAACATACCTGTTACACACTGTCTACCTTCAGTGTCAAACAAGTTACCACCCAGCTAGTTTTCATCTTACAGGAAAGTCTGATAGTTAGTCTGTTGGTCTGCTCATTTTATCCTAAGTCCACTGAGATGGAAGATACTCAGATATTGCAGCGATGGGTGGCAGGATAGAGCTCTACAATAGATACTACATTCTAGTACATTCATCATTAGCTGCTCTTCCCTTACCCCTAACTTCTCTTTGTATTACAAACATCCCGCACTAGGCTCCTCAGGTGACCGTTCTCTTTCATTTCTGCCCCTGCCCAAAGCTGTTTCAGGTGTTATGCACTTAGAAATTACATAGGATTCTAGGGTCCACGTTATTCATGCTAAGCTCCTTTCTTTAGAATTTAAAAACCACCATCACACACGTCCTAATATCAATGCAGAAAAATCTTACACATGACTGAAAGGTTAACTCCCATCACTCCTTTAGGGAATACATACATGGTTCATAAAAAAGAAAGTTTGTTACTGTCAATAATGGGAAATGCTTCCTTCATTTTATATTGCAGCATAGAGAAGAAACGTACTATTGTCCCGACACTGGCAGAAGCTGTCAAAGAACAAGATGGAAGGGAAGTGGCCTGGGAATACTTCTATCAGTTGCTGTTTACTCTGGAAAATTTAAAACTAGTGCATATTGCTTGCCATAAGAAAACCAGCCATAATCTTACCTGTGACAAAACTAAAATATACAGAAAAAGAAAGCGTATGCGGAAGGTCTCAAAGTGACTTCCCTGAAGGTGGCTCTTTGCAGTAGTTTTCTAAACTATTTGAAAGGACACCATTTTTAATATTTCTGAAATTCTTAGTGAAAGATCATAGATTGATCTCTTCTTGCTAAATTCCCTAATATAGATGTGTCTGCAATCAAACCTAGTTCAAACATTTGTCATTCCACCTTTCACTTGGTTTGTGAGGCCCCAGCTCATTATCCAAGCAACCTGCATAGTTTATAGAATGTGAAATGTAGTTTATATAACAGACCTTTTATACCAAGTGTCCTGGCCCTTTAGCCATAGGTACAACCTAGGCAGTTGAAGTCTCTCCCAAACCCAATCATATTGGCTTTTTTGTCTCACATGAAGCCAGACAAGGGTGCTGCCTGGAAATAAAGTTCAGTCTCTATAACTGAGTTAATCCTGGCCAGTTTTGTAGGCGTGCCAAAAATGGGAAAAGTTGTACTAACGTGGACACCACTAAATGACTTTGAGGGAGATTTTCAAAGGGTGCCTAAGGAAGTTAGCAGCAGAGATCCCCTTAAAATTCATTGAGGTCTGTACTTAAACATTTAGACATTTTAGAAAATTTCCCCCTCAACTGACCACAGACTGCCAGATGGGTAAAGACTTAACATGTTCAGAACTAGATCTGATTGAGAGATGAAAGGCTTAGTATCCCATTACCAATCCAGACTTTGATCTCTTTCTTACATTAGAAATGCAGGTCCAAGAAGCAAGCTCCAGCAACGTTGAGCTATTTCTGCAAATCATTAATTTCCAAGCGCTCTGGAACAACAATGCACTTAGCTATTGCTTTCAACATTAAGTCTGTAAGGTAGTTAAGTTGTTTTACAGAGCTTACAGCTGGGCAAACAATCCCTGTGCCTTAGATTTACCAAAGGCCACCACACACTCAGTGGCAGAGCTACTCCCAGTCCTGTGTCCCAGGGATCTCTGCTCTAATCTACTAATGACTCCCATTTTTAACCTTTACTATTATTTTACGTACATATTTTCTAAAGAAACGTTATCAGTGGTGCTAGATTCTGTCTTTTTTTTTTATTGATGTTCCCCTTTTATTTTTTTAAATACCATCTTTCAACTTCCTTGGCTGCTTGACTTTCCTTGCAGTGTTGTACAGTTCTACCTATGAAGGATATTATAGGAAAAGGTATTGTATGTTCAATATCTTTGATAATTGTCTGTTCACCTATGTTCCCCTCTACCTCTTAATTATGTAGTAAAATGTGAATGATTTTTTTTTTTAAAGGCCATCTAAAATCAACTGAATTCTCAGGAACTATGTAAATGTAAAACTTCAATATATTTTTATATATTTGTTTAATAAAGATCTTTCAGGCATCCTTTTCCTCGTACATAAGTATAAAGGAGAGATAAGGTGTGTACAAGCAACTAGTGCAAAATCAAATGAACTAATACCCACTTCTGATAGAGTGAAGTATAAATTGATCAGGCTAGAATAGTGTCTTTGTGGCACAGAGTTGTGTTTTTACATTTGGTGAAACACTGGTCACAACATGCGTATCTCCTCTTCTCTCTGGAGAGGTCTCTTTTTTCCCCATGTACTTGCTTCTCTCTCTCTTCCACCACAACCACTGCTCCAAGTAGCATTAGGTTATTAGTACAAAAATACCATCTTATTGTTCAAAGTGGGGAAGTTTTACTATATACAAAAAAAAGTGAGTAAAACTCAGAAAATAAGCATTCAGCATTGCTGCTATACACTGAGCAGGTGCATTTTTAAAGCAGGGCTATGGCAGTCCGAATAGTTACCTGTCCCCGTTAATTTTTAAACATATACTACTTTATACAATCAAAACAATTGAACAGTAATCTGTAACTGTTTTAATACCTGTAAATAAATCTACACACACTCCAGGATGACATTTTTGGAGATGTCATAACAAATGAAGATCCTGTTCTTGCCCTGCTGACAACTGTAATGTGGTCTATAAAGCATGTTCCCTAAATAATTTAACATCACCCTTCAAGATGCTATTAAAAATACATGTTATTCCACCCGAATAGACACTTATGAGGGACATTGGTTCACAAATAAATCCCCAAAAGCCTGAAGGATAAAGGTATAGGGATTACAGCAAGATTTAGTTGTTAAAAATCATAATCACACTATTTAAAAAAGTTGAATGCCTTTATATTACTGCATTAGAAAAGAGGAAAAGCAGTAAGACATTGCTGGTAGCAATAGCATATCAGATGAAGTGAAAATAAGAGAATGAACATACCCTATACAATTCATTCAGCTTTTATGTGGCTGCTTAATAGGCAATAGCTGTAGAAATGAATATTTATATAAGCCATCTGCCGATAGGTTTCCTACTTTTCTAGAAATTCGGAGAGCAAGTACTTAAAGTTTCAAAAATATAGATCTGGAAGCTTATTGCCTAATAACCACTTCCAATGAAGTGTTACCAACGTTAGATTAACTAATAATTTTCATAAAGTCATTTGAAGCTACCACCTGGGAAAATCAGGCAGACCGACCTTATTCCATACTTCCAACACCATTCATCTAGTAATAAATTGCTGAAGAAAGCTCAGAGATTAGTTTTTACTCCTTGAGCATCAACAGAATTATTTACTGAGCTCCCATCAGTGTAAACCAACTGAAGAAAACAGTAAGGTTACATGGGTATAAGTGAGGGCAATATTTATCCTACAGTAGCTTTACTGCTGGTAATATATGAGAAAGAAAGAAAACCGAGCTTATATCTCAGATGGCAGGTGGAGGTTGTTGAACAGGCAGAGAGTAAAGCTCCCATACTTGTTCGTAAAATAAGCACATCTGGTCATCTAGAGACAAAACATAGAACCCACACTGACATTTGTACAGGGCCAGTTTTCCCAACAGAACCGCAATTTAAAGGTTTGTAAGTAGAATTGATTAGTTTCAGAAGTGAACAAATGGTGTAACACTAAACATAAGAAATACATGATGGACTCCCTCTTAGGTATTGGGTACTAGCAGCTTACTTACTAGGCACCTATGAAGAACACCATACAATAATAACACAAGTGTGTTAGTCACATTTTGCTTTTAAGATTTTTCTGCTTTTTAAGAAAATAACTGTTAGCCCCACGGTGACTTGTGTTGTATGCACTCAAATTTACATAATGCTCGTTAGCTGTTCCTCTTCACGACAAAGAGATAAAGTAAAATTGCTTCGTTTATTAAAGCAACCAGTCCTTTAATTCTATTAAATTGTTTAATTCTGTTAAATCAGTAGCTGTGGCTTCTAAATCCTGCTGACTTCACACTTCCACATTCACTAGTAAAGGCACTTCACTCTCTTCCACACTCAGCTTTGGGTTTTGTCTAGGATTCCTATAGAAATAGACAGTTTCTCTCTAAGAAAGGCACTTGTAGAAAGATGTCATGCCAGTGACATGTGATGGGTAGGATAGCTAATTATAATAGGATCACTAATTATTTTAACAGACTTATAGAAAAATAGACAATTTAACAACTTAAAAAAGTTATCTTTTTTGCATTCTGTGCTTAAAGTGCATCATCGTCGTCATCATCTTCCTTTGCAATGAAGTGCAGCTTTCTAAGTTCCCGCCTGCTCATTGTGGTGCACGCGACTGCAGCTGCTGGGAGGTCCTTTAAGAAAGAGAATTTATTAACAAAAGCCAGCTGCTGTAGCAACCAAACAGCCCTTCCATACAGACAGTTCACATTACTATATACAGGTTCCACAACTGGTATATGCTAGACATTAACATATCCCTACTACAGCTGACTGTGTTCACATAGATCTTAAGTATAAGCAGAAGCAGTCTGAGGTGAGCCTTCTCAAACTACTCATGTGAGCTCATGCTAAGAGCAAAAAAAATCTGCCTTAGCGTGTGGTGCTTGCTTTCTTTTTTAATACTTGGGGGGGGGGGAAGAATTATTGGGCTAAGTGCTCTACAAACAAATCCACACATTACCCCGTATGATGGTTAAGTATTATTCCTCATTAAACAGCTGGGGAAAAAAAGATTATGTCTTGTCCAAAATTACAATGCGTCAGTGGTGGATCTGGGAAAAGATCTCAGAATCCTGTCCCATACTCAATCCATTAGTAGAGCTGGTGGGAAATTTCTGTTCTGTGGGAAAATTCTCAAAAATCCTGATTCAGAAACATTATTTTACAAGGGAAAAATGTTTAGTTTTGGTTGTTACATTAGAATATGAAAGATGATCTTATTTATTATATTATTAAAATATAATAAGTCAAAAAATTGACATTATTGAAATGAAACATTTTACCTTATCAAAACAAAATGATAAAGCTGAAAAAACATTTAGACATTTTCCTTTCAAAATCAAAGTTCCTGCGAAATGTTTCAATTTAGATGAAACTGCTTTTTTTTTTTTTTTTTTTTAAACTAGCAACCTGTTCAGTTGAAAGATTTTCAGCCAGATGTATCCAATAGCTCAGGATGTTTCTCTAATAGATTGTCAATACTGGTCAAATTTGCTTCAAGTTTTGGCACCACTCTAACATTCTTTGGACATATAGACTAAAAGCTAGAAAGGAGTTCATAAGAGCAAAATTAAAACAACACCAAAAACACACTTCAAAGTTTTATTCTTCTAACCTGCATGAACTCCATATTTCCAAAGAATCGGTCCACTGGCATTGGCTGGTTACTGTCCTCATCTAAGAAAGCACTATTATCCAATTGTATTGGTTTCTTCTGGAGATCCACAGTCTCCAGCCCAGACTCATCTGAAAACGCAGTTCCACAGCTGCTCTCCTCTTCCACATTTGGGATATGGTTTTGCAGGAAAGTTTCATCTTCCTCTTTCTTTGGTGGGCAGCTATTTCCCTTCAGTGCAGATGGTTTTATGGAAACATCATCATCATTCCCCTGTATCTCTTCATTAATCTTTGGAGCACTTCTGCTTTTACTCTGTAAAGGCTTCATATTGGGGTCAACTGAATCTCCCAAATGTTGATCCTCATCAGACGTTTCCGTTGGTTCTTTCAGAAGAGGAACACTTCCATTTCCAGATACAAGTTCTTGTAACTCCAGTTTCACTAGACTGTTTTTTTCACATTTTAGCCTCTTTGAAGGGCGTCTGTCAGTTGCTTTGTGTGAAGAAGCCTATCACAAAGAAAGAAGATGTAAGGTCTACTTCAAACAAACTTCACTAGACAACATTAGTGCCAGGCTGGATATGAAGCTGAACGGCTTAATGAAGTGAGCACTGGGTGTTTTTTAGGGGGCTGCAGTTTGACCCAAAGCTACATGCCTAAGGAAAGTTGATTTTATGATAAACAGTGGGTTTAAAATTTGACTCAATTACATTTCACAAAATTACAAACAAACAATTACCATTTGGAATCCTCTTCCCAAGGAAAGCACAGAACTAATGTAGCATGTGGATAATCACCCATCATATTTTTCACAATATTCTTCTTGATAGTTACCATAACAAAATGAACTTTATACACTTTAAATTATGAGATCGCTATTATATAGGAATTCACAAGACATACATACACACATGGTTTACCACAGTGCACTTTATGCTGTGAACAACAAATCTGGAAAACTGACTCCACAGTGTATAAACTTGTTCCCTTGACTGTGTTTTTTTGCATGGCCATATAATCAAATAATGTAAATATAGTGAATTTGAAAAAAAAAATTGTTTAACAAATTCTCAAGCTAAATCTATCACACTGGTAGCTCATTTTGTAGCTGTTTATAATTAGATGCAAAAAAACCCCCTTCCTTGCAGTGTTTAAACAGATTTTAAACCTCAGAAGAATTGTGGTTCCCACAGCAGCCATAAGTAGGCCACATTGCACATATATTAACGTTAAAACCCTATATGGACCCTATACAGAAAGTAAGTGATAATGATTGCTGGGGAGGACACATTTCCTAGTAATTAGTGACTTGCTGAAGGAATGGAGTCATTAACCTCACCAGTCATTAATCGACCAGAAAATGCCTTAACTATTCATTATTGCCATTATTAACCATGAAACTATAAGTTTAAGGAAAAATAAGTTACCAGTTTATAAACTGCAAGATAAAACTGCATATTATTATAGAGTTGTTTTTTTTGTTTTATATACAGAACAGGTTAAATGCCAGTACAGTAGCCAACAGGAAGGCAGAATTTCACTTCCAGTGTGTTCCACTATAGTATGCTGTTGTTCCTTAGAACCATTTCCAAGGTTTTATGATACAAAACTTGGACAATTCAAACTCAGTATAGACATAATATGCAAAAAAACTTGTTTTTAGAGTGAAAAGAAAAAGATGCCAGTGCATTTATTTGCATGTATGCTCTGCTGGTTGCATGTTTAGAAAAAACACACACCACGGCCACCCTGATATCCTGAAGTAACAACCTGAGGAATCAGAATTACTTATTTCTGATCCGGAGTACCTCAAATTACTGATACATCCACATTAACAAGCAGAAATGAATGTTCCATATGTCAATATATTAAATGTTCATCGCTATATTTATTTATATAGCTAATAAAGGCATGTACGTTATGCATGTTTATTTCCATCTCCCTTGCTCTCTGGATAATCGTGTACATTAACTAAAGTTTAGCTGTAGCCATGTCAGTCCCAGGATGTTGAAGAGACAAGGTGGGTGAGGTAATATCTTTTATGGGACCAATTTCTGTTAAATGGTCCCTTACCATTTAGCTGTGATACTCTAGAGCAGGGATCGGCAACTTTTGGCACGCGGCCTGCCAGGGAAAGCCACTGACAGGCCGGGCCAGTTTGTTTACCTGCCATGTCCACAGCTTTTGCTGATCGCAGCTCCCACTGGCCGCGGTTCGCTGTCCAAGGCCAATGGGGGCTGCGGGAAGGGCGGCCAGCACATCCCTTGGCCCATGCCACTTCCTGCGGCCCCCATTGGCCTGGGACAGTGAACCGCGGTCAGTGGGAGCTGCGATCGGCCGAACCTGAGAACGCGGCAGGTAAACAAACTGGCCCGGCCTGCCAGGGGCTTACCCTGGTGGGCCGTGGGCCAAAGATTGCTGATCCCTGCTCTAGAGTACCTTTCCCAGACCTGAAGAAGGGCTCTGTGTGGCTCAAAAGCTAGTCCCTCTCACTGACAGAAGTTGGTCCAATAAAAGATATTATTACAGAGACAAAGGGAGTGAAGGAACTAAAAACATTTTGCACAACATATTATTTTCATGGCCTTAATAAAAGTCAAAACATCCCCTATATCATATTCCAAAACAGCTCATTGCAAAATGAATTTATGTAACATTTTAAAAACATTTCAGAAAGAGTAACAGAGGGTCCTGTGGCACCTTTGAGACTAACAGAAGTACTGGGAGCATAAGCTTTCGTGGGTAAGAACCTCACTTCTTCAGATGCAAGTAATGGAAATCTCCAGAAGCAGGTAAGAGTGAAAGTCACAGGTTTTTCCTACCAGACACACTGTTTTAGTAGATTTGCAAAGATCAACCTCTTGATGAGATGAAGACTGGGT